TTGAAAATTTCTGCTTGACACCAGTTTCGTTTCTTATGATTGAATCATGAACTTTGACCTTAAGAGGCTAGTGAGGCCTGCACGACTTTAGATGTTGTTCTATGATGGTTTGTGACATCCTGGATGTTTTCTCAATTTGTGTTGTGACTCTTCCTGTGGTTCATCTTCAAACTGCTTAGTAACTCTTTCTAGACTCATGGATGTCAACAGCATGTCTCAAATTTCTCAGTTCATTTCTATTGTGGCATAAAATTGCTTAATGAAGACATTTAATCTCAATTTTGTTGGATTTGCTCTATATAAGTACGTTTGTTGACACTACTGGTCTACCAGGTGTTATAAGATGTGGTTCATAACAGTTAATTTATTCATTCAACAAAGAGGTCATTTACTTTTTGGCTTGGATAGATTTTTTTTCCTGGGATAAATCATCATTTGAAAACAGTTATCTTTGATTTGTGTGACAAAACAGTAAAAACAAAAACTGTAGGAATCTGTCAGGGACAAATGCTTCTTTGCAGTTCTGATTCCTCCAGACCTTCAGTTTTTGTCATTATTTAACAGACTTCCAGTCTATAAGAATAGCTAAAGCAAATAATATATTTGAAATAGAATTTCTAATGCAGGAACAACAAACTAGTGTCAAAAACCACAAACAGCAGAAACAATCTTTAAAATTCTTTGAGATATCTATAATTATAATCTTCACATCTTCTGAGGATGTCATGGCAAATCATGGCATATTTTTGCTTATTTTGTTTTTCACAAAAACATAGTTTGTATTGAAGGACCAAATTACATATGTTTTTTAAATATAAAGTAGAATGTGAATTAGAATATAAATCTCTATCTTGTTTATTCCAACTCACAGTACAAAATACAACTTTTCCTGTCTTGTGTTGGCACATTTCATAGTTTCCTGTGAGATAATGCCTATATTACATTTTCATTGTGCTGTTCAAAAAGGTCAGTAAATACATGTATTTATTCACAAAAGGTGGTTTAGAGACTATTTGTGAATATAGAAACATGTTACCCAAAAATCTCTAATATCTTATTTATTTTTCATACCTTTTAAAATGTTTTTGCTTAGATGGCAACAAAACTCATATCTCTTCATTATTACCAAGCCTGCTGTTTCCCATCAGTCACCCTGGCTGCGTTAAAAGCAGATTTATAAAATGAGCCACACTGAGCTTAATCAGGAACTCCATTTTACGTACACTACCTAGTGACTGGCAATATGTTTACATTCAAAATACAAAAGCAAGTGCAAACAGATGTCCTGAAGCAATCCCCATCAGATCATTGAAAGCTCCAGGGTGTTGGCATGTCGTAGCTCTTCCTGGTTCTATAATGCAAATCAAGGTGATGACATAAAGGCTCCAAGTTGACATGCAGGCCATGCAAACACACAAATGTATTTTCACTGACTAATCAGGACTTTCTGTGCCTTCCTTTCATTTTACTAACAGTTTGT